TCTCAGTCTTGGCGATATTAGGTCTTAGTCTCCAGGTAGTCATCCACTGATGGACTTCGTTGATACCGCGCTGGAGACTGTCTCGCAGCCTGTCTAGACACTCATTGAACCGGAGCAGTGCAGTATCGTCAGCAAATAAGGGGGGGAAATAGAGTAGCAAGAGCTGATACTTAGACGAGATTGGTTCCACTGCAGGGAATTCTTGTTATCATGTACATACAGGAGGGTGACATAGTCAGCAAATAAGTATGGGGTGCAGTAGGTGATTGATGAGGGCAGGGAATTTACAAATAATAAAAAGAGGGCTGGAGCAAGATGCGATCCCTGCGGGACTCCACAGGTCTGTAAGGACTCCAACCTTACAGACAGCTTTCGCTCAGATCAGAAGCTTCGGAGCCAGTCGACTGCTGGCCTATCAGCAATTCCTTCAAATGCATTTAGCAATGCTTGATGATCCACACACATGGGGCTCCGTGCTCCCCTCCTGTGCTAGAATTAACACCATAATTATTTGGCATGTACCCTCACTTCGTAGAGCACAACGACGCGCTCTTCTTCTCCGTGATGTGCACAGTTACACCTTCTCCCCCCCCCCCGGTATAGAGGTGACATAACTCGCATCATTTTATTTTTTGGCGCTACACTCTGCGTAACGCCATTCACAGAGCACAATGCGCGCTACCTTCTGCTGCTTCTCCTCCGTGATGTGCTAGTTGCGCCTTTTCTCTCTCTCTCTGCCCCCCCCCTTCTGCATACCAGGTGACATAATTCGCATCTTTTTTGGCGCTACACTCTGCGTATATACTGCTCTTGTGTGGCTTCCACGGTATTCATTGTTATTACCTGACGATGGCTAAGTGCCGAAACGTTGTAAAAATAACGGAACTGGTTCGGATGTGATGTGCAGCGCTATGGGAATGGGTGTGTCCACCCGAATTCTTTTCATTGATGATCCACACGATCAAGAGCTTTCTTAAAGTCGAGGAAAACACAGTCGAACTTCAGCTTCTTGTCATTGCACTCAGCCATTTGATGTGTCAGCAAGAATAATGAATGATGAAACTACAAAAGGATTTGAATTGTTTGCAGGCAACCTGCCTACACTCAAGAGAGCACTGCATTTCACACAAATCCATTGGTATCGTTACAACGTTTCGGTCTTTATGACCATCATCAGGAATGTACAAAAGGATTGATAAAGAAACACAATGGATGAAAATGCAATACAAATTTTTAAAATGCGAACCCAGAAAACCAGAAAAGTTGTTGTTGTTGTTTGGCTTTATTTAAAGTGGAGTTCCAAAACAGGCCTAAACCTAATGACAATGGTCCCACTGATAATAAGAGAAAAGAAAAATATATAATAATAAGCGGGCAAACAGAACCAAGAAGAAGATACAGCTGTAGTTAGATAACTAATATGAGCACGGCAGCAGGGGAAAAAAGTCACAAGCACGGCAACCGGGAAGAAAGGAGTGAGTGAGTGAGTGAGTGAGTGAGTGAGTGAGTGAGAGAGAGAGAGAGAGAGAGAGAGAGAGAGAGAGAGAGAGAGAGAGAGAGAGATTGAGAGAGATTGAGAGAGAGAGGTAGTGAAGCAGATGAGTTCATCCTAGTTGACGGTACTGCCTAACAGAAAGGCCAGGCTTAGCGATTTGAAAGTGGAGCGCTTTCTTTCGAGGCGTGCTGTGTCTGGGAGCTGGTTCCACAGGATAGCTCCAGCATGGCTAATGCGCTTAGCTGAGGATGCAGTGGGGGAGACAGGAATGATGAGTAACTTGCTGCTCCCTCCTCGTGTTCGGAGAGAGAAAAAAGGAAACAAATGTAACCCAAAAGAAAAAAAAGTGTGATTAACACTATGTACACTATGTATGTGATTGGAAAGGCTTCCTGTCTGAAGCCTTTCCATAATCCATACTGGTGCTCGATGTTCCAGTTTTATGACACGAGAATTAGTGTACCGCTATACACGTGGTCGACACGTTGTCGACACGTTGTTGATACTTTTTTGACACGTGACGGGAAGGAGAACTACAGAAGTCGACGAAGTCGTGGAGCCCCCTTTCCGTATCCCGTACTGCAAAGTGCCATTGATGGATGTCTTCTGCACCTGGAACGGCCCCATAAACGCTGTCGCGTCGGCGGACTGAATGCGCAGGGTTGTTGTTGTTTTTTATTTGAATTCGCAATACCAAACGGGCAATAAGCCCAATTACATGGAAGCGAATAAAAGAATGCTAAGAATGAGGCATTGGGGTGGATATTATTTCAAGTGGAAAATACTGATCCCGGGAGGTGCTACAAATAGGTACTTCCAGTACAATGAAAATCTGAAAAGGCCATGGTACTGTCGTTTACCATGCTGGAAGCAGCTACATGTAGAAGGAAAAACAACAAGAAAGACGTTTTATCTCATGTATTGGACAAACAGAGCTAACAGGAAAAGACCGTTCGTTATAATTATGCCTATACATACTGTCCGTGTGTGTGTGTGTGGGGGGGGGGGGCATGTCACTGTTTCGCTTCTTTAAAAACGTTTATGGCCTGAGAGTGTGGGGGGGGGGGGGGGGGAGGGGGGCATGTCACTGTTTCTCTTCTTTAAAAACGTTTATGGGCTGAGAGTGTACGGGTACAGGGCTGCTGCGAAATCGGCCACGGCTTTGATCTATTGGTCCTTCTGCGTGCGGGTGGTGTTGGATAACACGAGACTGCCGTACTCTATAACCGGGCGAATGTAGGCGGTGTAGATTACGAGCAGACTGGGGGTGTTAAGTTGGCCTCGTGTTTTACGAAGTTGGTGAAGGAGTTTTTTGGATTTGTTTATTATGTGCGTGACATGTGAGTTCCATTGGAGGTTGTTTTGTAGTATGATTCCAAGGTGACGGTGTTCGTTGACTTGCTTTAGGGGTGTGTCGTTAAGATTGATGTTGAGTTGGTGGTTTGGTGTGAACGACAAGGTAACGGTCTTTGAGGCATTGACGAGGAGGTGCCATCTGCGCTGAAACGGCTGACTGCAGGGACAACTCCGATGTCAAACGGCTCTGGTGTGTTGCGATGAGCGCCGTGTCATCTGCAAATTGGCTGCACTTTGTGTTCGAGTTGGTGCAGGCAGAGGGCAGGTCAATGGTGTAGATCAAGAACAGCAGGGGGCCTAGAACGGATCCTTGGGGCACCCCTGCTGGTATGGCTTGCCACTCACTGAAGGCGTCACCGACACGAACACGTTGACGGCGATGGGTGAGGTAGTTGACCATCCATTGCAGGGCGGTATCCTTCAGGCCGAGGTGTTGCAGTTTCTTGAGGAGACCGGCGTGCCAGACTCTGTCGAAAGCCTTCGAGGGATCAAAAAAGCAAGCTGTGACGGAAAGACCTTTATCTCGGCTCTCGGAAACCTGGTGCACGAGTCTGGCGAGCTGGAGTTCGGAGCTATCATTGCCACGAAAACCGGATTGGTCCACTGGGAGGAAGGGTGTGACGTGCTTGTAGAGTCTCTTGTGGACGATCTTCTCCTGCACTTTACTGATAACGCTGAGAAGTGATATAGGCCTGTAGTTTGTTACCAATGACCGTTCGGATTTCTTGTAAAGTGAGTTCACAGTGGCATCACGCCAGTCCTGCGGTTGTTCACCTCTCAGAAATGACTCATTGAAAAGTCGGGAGAGTGACGGCGACAGCTCACGCGCCGTGGTCTTGAGGAGTCTTGTTGGGATGTCGTCAAACCCAGGGGCTTTGCAAGGATTAAGCTCCTAGGAGCTGTTCCACCTCGGCGGGTGTGGTGGTGAGTTGGGCAAGCTCTCTCTCGCCGGATGTTGGTAGAAGGATGTCGGGGACTGGCTCCTTGTCAACTGAGACGGACTTCTTGCTTTCTGAAATGAAGAAGCTGTTGAATGCTTCTGCCTGCTCTAAGTTCGATGTGAGCTTCCTTCCATCATGGTTCAAAGCTGGGAATTCCTTTCTTGGTGAAATTCGAAGGGTCTTCATAAGTTTGTAGAGGTTTGGGCGGTTTGTATGGGTTTGGTCACAGTGGTTGTCGGCATTGGCTGATTTATGAACGAATTTGGACTTGGCCTTGCGGAGAAGAGTTGTTGTCTTGTTTCGCTGAGTTGTGAACTGGTCCCAGTCTTCAGCCGTCCGTGTCCGGAGGTATTTCCTGTATAACCTGTGCTTTGTACGGATATTATTAATTAAGCAGATCAGGCGTCATCCATGGGCGTTTTTAAGACACTGCAGATAATCTAGTCAACCGGAGTTGAGTACAGAACTGGTGTGCGGTGCGAAGTAGAGTGCATGCACATAGTTAACTGCTACATCACACTGATAACTTATACACTGTAGTGCAGCTTTGTCTTTGAGTTTGATATGTTTCATCACACACAGGCGATGCGCCGTTTTGCGTAAAGTCGACGTTTAGAGGTAGTTTTATTATCCCAAATGCCAAAGCGCGGGAAAATTCAAATGCAAACAGCTGCATTTTTGAGACGTATTTTTTATCGACAGTCGGGCAGTCAATGCCAATTTTCTCAAGAAGAAGAGTATTCAGAGGCATTGTTGTGCATTTTCCGTCGATACTATACGTGTGCCCTAGTGTTTGCATGAGCGAGGGTGGTGGTTTTACTAAACCGTTCGCATGGCGGGCGGGTTTGTAAGAAGAATGGCTTCAGCCATTGACGAGCGACGAGAAACCTGTCATTTCGTGCCATTTGAGTTAGCAGTAGCACCGGACAATACTGACACATGTCTGCGCCAGCAAACATAGTGTACTAACGGATGAAAAACAGCCACAATGTGTGTCACTGCGGAAACAGGCTGTAGAGGTGTATTTGCAAAGCTGCTGATTTTCGTCGTCTTTCCATGCACAGGGTACGTATCATGCCCTTGGCATAGGCCAAAGCACGAAAGCTTTAGTTGGACACCACCCACAATCTCCACGTGGGTCCCAGTGTACCTGCTGCTGCCGATGAGAACCGCCCTGTAAGCGGGTTACCCACCCATGTGTCCTTAATATGACTGAGAATACATCAGTAATATGCCATAAGCATTGGAAACCTGTACAGTTCAATCCAATTTAAACCAGAATGACTGCATTGGTTGGAAATGCATTGCACCATTCCACTGAAACGTTAACACACAAGAACAGGAACAGAAAACGAAAGAATGTAACACAAAAGATAATCCCAAACCGTCCAGCGGAAAAAAGAACGCGGGAAGAAAAGCACTGTGGCTGGTGTAGGAAGCAAATACTGCAAAAACTAGGCTGTACGGGAAGTACCAAATTATGTGCTTGTCGAGCATCTCCTCAGAGTCGACAAAGGGATAGCGGAATGAGAGAGACCGACTAATTTTCGGCGAAACTGTCACAAGCCAGCAGCTGGTGATTGTTGAGGAAGGTAGTTACACCACACTGACCGACACCACTGCTGTGGGTAATGATTACGTGCATCGATCGTTGACATTGCGCAGCACCTGGCAGCAATAAACCAGACAAAGCAGTACAATACCATGCAGAAGATGAATGCTTGACGGAGTATAATTAGTAGCAGACAAACTGTTACACAATGGAGCAACATTATTTGCTAAAATGGCATAAATATATTATTACTTTGACGAATACCTGACACAAAACATTCCCGCTACAAGCATTACCAACTAACTCTACTGTCCCTGATGGAGGAGGGACTAGTGGCACACATTCCTACTGCATACCCCAAAGCTAAGAAAGGTCACAGTGGCATCATGCTCATGTGAGCCGGTTGGGTACCACCCAAGCTCTGCACCGGGCTCTGTCCAGGTGCCTACACACAACCATGGAGGACGAATGCAACCCCAAAACACGATGTAGTAAAGGGCAAGTCCATGGACACAGCTGTCAAAGTTATCCACCAAATTGACCTACAGCAGGCCAATGTACAGTGGAGGAGAGTACCGAGAAACTAAGAATAAAGGACTTATCATCTGTTTGTCAGACTATCTGTCCCCGGGGAAAATCGCGATTCCGCGGCCGCGTTTTTTCCCGCTTTTTTTGCGATGTTTTAAAAGACCGCGTTTTCCACGATTTTCCCGCGTTTTTGAACTTTTTGTTGCGCTACACGTACACACAGTGCACTGTTCGGTTGACCGTTGTGAGCCGTTGACATCAAGTAGAGAGTCTACGTGTAGGGTGCGTGCTCCCTAGCATACACATGGCACATGACCGGCTCCCCGGTAAATTGCCTCATATTAACTGCAAACTTGCCGCATATCAATAATATTCACCGCATATTTACCGCAAATTCACCGCAAATTATGCCATATTTACCCGCAAATTACACCGCAAATTTGTTCCGCGATTTTCCCTGGGGACAGGACTATCCACCCCAAGCTATGGTCATGAGGGTGGACAATACTGGATGGTGACAATTCCCCCTCGCTCTCGTTTTCTCCCCTGGAATGAAGCTTCACACACATACCTGTAGTACCTGTGGTGTCTACAAGTTGTATAAACAGTCCTTCACTTACTCCACTGCTTTCTATAAAAGCCTGTCTTATGCAGAAGCCTGTTCTGAACACAAGCCTGAGTTTCAAGATATGCAATTAGCACAATAATGTGGATTTTGCATCGGCAACCATAAAAAGTTTGGTTTGACTACAAACATAATGCAACATAATGTAAATAGAGGCCTAGCCACCACACCGGCTTCTACAGAAATACGCCTGGCTTTCATACACGACATTACAGTAAGTCATCCAGTTCGCACTCACCCACTTCAGTTGGTGCTTGCAGACGTATTAGACGCATACAGCCAGTCAAGTACACTTGCAGGGATCTTTTCTCAACGAGGAGTAACGGCTGGCCATAGCACCTACAATACATACAGAATGACAATGGTGAACATAGCAAAAGGGAAGGGCATTCAAGACCTGCAGCTCCATGTATACATGCCGAGTGTGAGCGTGGTGTCTGTGGACAAAATCGACAAAGAGGTACCCTGGCAACACATGTAGTGCCAGGCTGCCAGCAAAAGGCTACGTGGCACACCAGTCCAACATGTAAATCAACTACTATCCACTGGTTAGGCCTTGACAGATAATGCTAGCATAATTTTTCGCATAATTCCTACCAAAATCGAATAATCGCATAATTCGAGGCAAATTGCATACGAATCGCATAAAATTGGAATAATCCGCCTGTTCGCATCAAATTCCATACAGTTGTACAAGTTCTGCAAGTACAAGTTCAAGTAGATGCACCAGGAAGTCGTAGGTTTACGACTCCCTTGAGAACATGTCCAGTCCACTACAATCAGTGACGGTCGTAGCTAGGTCGGACGGTGCGTTGACCCCGTTGAACTTTTGCTAATATAAAATACAGTGCAATGCCCTCTACAAAAAAATTCCCCTGTTATTTTGCACAGAACCATTACATGTACATTGTACATTAGCAGCATATGTGAGCATAATGCGGCATAATATGATAACTTTTAGCATAAAAATAGCATAATTCTGCAATTTTTTCAGCAATGCGAAAAGCATAATTTCACGAAAATATTAGCATAATCTGTCAAGGCCTACCACTGGTCACACTAGCCCAATTGATGCAAGTACCACAGTTGAAGTTCCATGGCCATTTGGCTGCCACATGCCAATCACAACAAGCACTGAGGAAGAAACTGAGACGAAGAGACATCAAAGGAAAACACTAACACAGACAGGCGGATTCCACACACAGTGAAACTTCAGTATGAAGTAGTACCAAGAGTCCATGGATGGCGGTGCCGTAAAACCTACAAGTGGAATTCAGCTACACTGGAATTGTTGCCTCTGATTATCGCTCAATTTAAGCAACAAATTCTACTATCAACTACCCACCTCTTCAAGGTAGGGATTGTAAAGAACCAATGACCTAGTCATGGTGTGGGGCTCTGACAAACATCTTGCAGCAGTCAGACAGCCTGTCACAGGCCTGACAAAAGGCTGTGGGTGCAAGTCCGGCTGCAGGATCATACAATGCGAGTGCAAAAGGCAAATCTGTTATGCAGGCCAGGGCTAAAATGCCACACTTTCAACAACACCTCCGCCAGGGAAGAATGCGACATTTCCAGTAAGCAAAAGGTTGTTTCATTTGAGGAGACTGAAAAGCAAGAAACCAGCAACGAATTGGACCAAGATTGAGTCAATGTGCACACAGGTGATGCGTGCGTGTTATTGTTTACTGGAATTATGGCATATATGCTAGAAACATGGAATGCACTACGAATTTTGACCTGAAATACACAAATAAACACATTTGCCTGAGTTTCAATGAGCATGTATAGACGTGGAACACAATGCTTCCACTGAAAATGGTGATATACCGGGAACACAATCCATCTGCTGCTATATGGGCGAGAAACTATTGTAACCTGGGATATTTTGAACCTTAGGTGTGATGAAATATCACTTTCGTGGATTTTACGTATCACAAAACAATTCTTTCATTTCGTGCCATTTGAGTTAGCAGTAGGTCTGGACATAGACATGACCAGATCTTTACACAGGTTGGTTGGGACTATCTTTCTGCTATCTCGGATATTGTGTAAGATATGATGGAGTCCATTACTGGCTAAATACCAAAGGAGGGAGGAAATCAGTTCTACCACTGTACCGTGTGTAAGAAAACGACAACACGAAACTTCTCAATGGCTCAATAGCTGACCCCAAAAATATTACGGATCACCTTAGTACTTACTCAAGTCGCATCGAATTCCTTATCGGCAGGCTCCAGGCTGTGGAACGCCTCCAGTGGGTCTGAATGTTCGACAACGTCAGCCATTACTTCTTCACGGAATCGTCATCTTCAGTATAGTAGTAGTATTGACATATCCGCGGCAAGCCGCTTATGTACAACGGCATGGGAGAGGATAACAAAAAATGAAAATATAATTATTGTTGGGGAAATCCACGCTATTATCGAATATTCAACAATGACGCGTGTGGGGTTATACCAAATTCCCATAATGTGGAAGTACGTTATTATTGTTGAAAGCACTAGGTGATCTGCACTCTACAATGTGACCTGTGCGATTATATCGTTGAATGATTGCCTGTTCCGAGCCACCAAACGCAGTGTCTCCAGGTCCTTCAGACTCCGGAGACGCATGGACGTTGCCTTAGCTAATTCGTTGTCTATCACCACTGGTAGGGTGATGCGCGGGCGTCCGAGCCAGCCCCGATTCTGTCGCTGGAAATACGCTGTCATGCTCACCTGCGCTGGAGTTGCTTCAGGGAGGCGTAGAACATGACCAAACAGTTTCCACCGTGCTCTTCTGCTTAGTACGGATATTGGCTCGGCATTGCAGCGGGCATATAGGTCTGTGTTGGAAGTAATTTCCGGGTAAGATATCCCTAATAGACGGCGGAGCTGCTTTCTGTGGAACGCATCCATTGCTGTAGCATCCCGGGATGAAAGCACCCACACGCCGCAGTTGTAGGTCAAAATAGATAGCACAAATGCATCAAACAACCTCAGGCGGGTTGCTTCAGAGATAACTTGTCTCCGCATCCACAGGTTGACAAGTGTGTTGAAGGCAGCTGCGGCTTGCTGGCGCCGGCGCTTGAGGTCTTCTGTGACTCCGTACAGTGAACCAAGCAACCGGGTGGACCTCCATCGTTCCTCACCTCTTCTTGCAACATCCTCTTCTTGGTATAGATGGGTCCACTCGGTCTTGGTAGGGTTGATGTTGAGGTTCCACTCTTTCGTCATCTTCACCTCTGTACAAAATGAGCTGACCGGGATAATAAAAAGGGCTTTTTTCGCTCTGGCGCATCGACTGCACCGTGAGCAATGAGTCCTGGAGGCACGAAACCTACGTCACAATACCAGCCAAGTCGTCGATGAGTGTTCGCCTATGCACCAGACACTAACTGATGTACAGTTACCAATGGTTACCAGTCAGCTATGTGAGTATCATCAGCCATGCATCTACTAGGCCACGTGCGTAAAGTATAGATGATGGTGGTGAGAGAAGCATGGCTCTTTGCCAGTCTGATCTGAAGACAAGATTAGAATAGAATTACTTAGAAGAAGGAAAGGAACAAAGGTTTACAGCGCAGTGTGCGTTGTTGTTACTTATTTTCAAGATGATGTAGGGTCAGAACGTGTGGCATTTTCCACAATATTCACTGATGATACTGACATTCAACGACCTGACGTTTGCCTCGATCACGTCTTGGATACACTGACCAACACACTTCCAGCCGGTCATAAAAATATTTATTCCATTCATTCAAAGAAAAAAATGTGAAAAACTGAATTAGTTTTCGTCGCACACATGATGTCATTGCCGTGACAACTTTGACAGGATCTAGATCATAGATGTGTCAATGAATGAACCAGTGATTCGCTGACTCCATTCCAGGGAATCGGTAGTATTCGGTAGCACTACAGTCTACAGTCGTCCCTCTTTAATTAATCCAGGGACTAACATGTGTTCACGATGACAGCGTGAACAAGGTGGAGAACCCACTGTATGAGAAACAGTGTTCCTGACTGAAACCATAAACTGGTTGGCGGGCCCGGTCTTGCGACCATTTGAACCACGAGATCAGGGAATATTCCTATAAGTATAATGCTCCAATAGAGTAGTGAGTGTCTGAATAGGGGCATAGCCCCATACGATTCAAATGGGCACAAGATCGAGACCCCACCCGGCAACCGGTGTATGGTTGCAGTGAGCCTGGAGTAGTGTTTTCCCATACAGTGGGTAGTCCACCTTGTTCACACTGTCATCGTGAAACTTACATACTACAATCAGGTACGTGTAGTTACGAAGTTTGTGTTCAAACCACACTACCCAGATCTGTTCATTTTCAACAGCAATGGCTAAACAGGAATGTCGTGAAATTATGATTCCATACCAGTAAAGAACGTTTCTCCGGCCATTTTCAGTCTTTAATTTGGCAAACATTGAAATCTACCCAAACTCTGTAGAGTGAGTTTAGATATTGGAAAACGCTGTAAAGCTGTACTTATACTACATGTACATGTATGTGCTACCCTTGATACTGTGCGTGAGGGCAGCCTTGTCAAGAGAGGCCACAACGACCTCCGTGACAGTGATGCCAAGCTTCGACATTGCCTTCGGCGGCGTCACCATCGAGCCGATCCTCATCCCGGAACAGGACAGGAATGGTCGCCCTATGCTCCAAGCGGACTGGCTCGCTCGCGGAGTATGGGAAGGTAACCGGGTGGCGTTTTTCGATAACCGCATCGTAGATGCTGACGCACCCAGTTATGCCAAGGTCAACCTGTCCTGGAATGCCACCGCCAACAAAGCAGCTGCAGCGAAGAAGCGGAAGTATAAGCATGCCGCTGAAGAGCTACGAGGCTCCTTTACTCCTTTGGTGTGTTCCACTGATGCTGTCCTCCACCACGAGTACAGTGCGTACCAGAAACGTCCCACCAGTCGCTTTAAAGCAGCGAAATAGGAGAAGCCCTTCTCTGCCATGATGGCTTGGGTACTCGTGCGCACTCAGTTCGTCATTTTCAGCGCCGTGGACATGCGTCTGCGAGGCTCCCGTCGCCGTCTTATGGGACTCTCCGTACATAACGGTGCCGACTAATCATCTCAACACAGATCTTAGTGAGAACAAAACTTTAAAAAACTTTTAAAAAACTACTTCTACGTACTAACGATGAAGGAATTTAGAAAACTTTTCCAAAGAGAATGTTTGGCCATGTTGCTGAGTAGGCATTGGCAGATTCTGCTCGAAAAGCAGTGAAATTGGCAGAACCATGCAAACCTTATGGTGGACAATTCCTTGTATTCTGCTCCATTTCTATATCCACATACCAAACATGCATGAAACTTACCAGAAAAAGTACCGAATTCTGCCAATTTGTCTTCCGGAATTATCTGCATATGCCTACTGCTGAGCAGAAGTTGCTGTTAGACTGTCTGCATGTAACTTGTAAGTCATTGACTGTGACTGAGCCAGTCTCCGTCACGTGATATCATGCACTGCGTTTCTGTGTTCTATGTAGCTTTGTAAATGATAGCAATGATGATGTCCATGAATGTCACGTGATCACTCTTAGTCAATGTAGTGGTTGATTGTGTGACGATGCAGTTAGACAGTGTTGATGTGTAGCATAGTCGACATACAGTGGAGTCTGTATTTTACACTGCTGTTCGTCTCATAGTGGAAATGTGGAAAATCTCAAACAAGATGTCATTTTCTACAAGTCATGTAAGAAGGAAATAATTTTCTAACGTGATCCGCTGCAAATGTGGTGTCTGTGTCTGTGGCTGGAGGCCCAATGTGTAGCTGGAACTACCACATATGATACCGCACAGAGCTAGAGATGCATACTCCCATTGTACTGAAATTGGGTATTGGCAAATGAGTGTCCCTGTAACCGACCTGGGACCATACCATCATTCAGGAGCTGGCTCTGTATCTCAAGACTGTGTATTCTATTGGTAAAAGTTTCCATTCTGAACTCAATGCCACTGGGTTGTTATGTGTAGTGTTATGTGTAATGACGTCACGACGATTGAAGGGAAAACTCTGTACAAGTACAAAGTACAGTCTGTAGTCTTAAGTACAACTTCTAACGTTATGCTGTATTTGTTTACTAGGACAAACCTTTTTACGTTATGCTGTATTTGTTTACTAGGACAAACCTTTTTACGTTATGCTGTATTTGTTTACTAGGACAAACCTTTTTACGTTATGCTGTATTTGTTTACTAGGACAAACCTTTTTACGTTATGCTGTATTTGTTTACTAGGACAAACCTTTTTACGTTATGCTGTATTTGTTTACTAGGACAAACCTTTTTACGTTATGCTGTATTTGTTTACTAGGACAAACCTTTTTACGTTATGCTGTATTTGTTTACTAGGACAAACCTTTTTACGTTATGCTGTATTTGTATTTTTGTATTTATATCATTATCTCATTTGTTTACTAGGACAAACCTTTTTACGTTATGCTGTATTTGTTTACTAGGACAAACCTTTTTACGTTATGCTGTATTTGTTTACTAGGACAAACCTTTTTACGTTATGCTGTATTTGTTTACTAGGACAAACTTTTTTACGTTATGCTGTATTTGTTTACTAGGACAAACCTTTTTACGTTATGCTGTATTTGTTTACTAGGACAAACCTTTTTACGTTATGCTGTATTAAATACAGCATAACGTAAAAAGGTTTGTCCTAGTAAACAAATACAGCATAACGTTAGAAGTCGAGGGCAATGTTTTGAGTATGAGAGAACTGGAGCGATCAGAGTTTGACCTAGTTATTCTCAGCAAATTGGACGCATGTCGTTATGCTGGTGTGTATACTGATGATCCTGGGAAGCAGAGAAGGCAAAAATTAATATCAGTATAGTTTCCAAGGGGCTCCTGTGTGTGTGACAGCTTTTCGCCATGTGTACGATGTCAGTGACAGACGATTGAAAAATCTTCGCAAGCATTTGGAGGATAACGGTGTGTTTGTGTACGAGTTCACGGCAATGTCAGGAGGAAGCCACATAATGCCTTAGCATTTGAAGATGTTAAACGGTGCGTGGCGTTTATTGATGCGCATGCTCAACGTTTCGGCATACCCCACCCAGCGCCGCTTCATGGTCGGGACGATCTGCCGCCAATATTTCTGCCAGCATATCAGACGTACAAGTCAGTGTATGCTACCTATGTATCAACGTGTACCGCTGGCAATAAGGCTATGTCTGAGTCAAGCTTTCGATCAATTTGGCATCAATGTGTACCTCACATAAAGTTCATGTCCCCTCGTGCTGATGTATGTTCCAAGTGCGAACGCCTGCGACGAGCAGTGACGTCAGCTGTGTCGGAACAGGAGAAGCTGAAAGCCTGTCAAGATCTCACTGACCATGTGCATGATACCCAGAGAGATCGGGAGTACATGTACTACATCCAGAAAACTGTAGATGCCAGAGATGAGCTGAAATCACAGCAAGCCATGTCAGCTGCTGGCATCGAGCAGCCAGATCCAACCAGCCAATGCAAAGCTCATTACACTTTTGATTTTGCCCAGAATGTTTTTTTGCCGAAGACCGCTCGTCAAGAGGGTCCGATGTATTTTAAGACTCCCCGCAAAGTCCAAGTATTCGGAGTGTGCTGTGAAGGGATCCCTAAGCAAATCAACTACCTCTTGGACGAGAGCGACACCCTCGGCGCAGACGGCAAGAAATCCCACAACCCGAACACAGTGGTATCTGCCATTCACCACTACTTCAAGACTCATGGCCTTCAAGAGAGTGAGTGCTTCCTACATACTGATAATTGCTGTGGACAAAACAAAAATAAGACCGTTATGGCATACTTGGCTTGGCGCTGCATGACCGGACTCCACAAAAAGATTACGTTATCTTTTATGGTGACCGGGCACACACGGTGCCTTGTAGATGGGATGTTTGGACTCTTCAAGAGGAAATATAGACGAGCAGACACATACACGATGGGCCATCTAGCTGCAGTAGTCAATGAAAGCACTGAATGCAATGCTGCCCAGTTAGTCCCTGGCTCTGGGCTGCTGTGGTACGACTGGGATAAATTTCTCCCGCTGTACTTCCGCCCCATCCCAAGGATCACCCAGTTCCACCACTTTGTGTTCGAGGCAGTCAACCCAGGGGTGGTACTTGTGAAGAGCCGTGTTGAAGACAACTTTCAGCAAGTGTCTATCTTGAAAACAGGAGTGACGGTGCCCACAGTTATGGCAGCCGGTCTGCCTGACATCCTGCCGGCAGGGGGGCTGTCACGTGAACGACAGACCTACCTGTACCGAGAAATCCGGCCTTTCGTTCCTGGCGAGTTTGCGGACGAATTATGCCCTGCAGTGCCTGATGCTTGAGGCCATCATAGATGTTTTGCTGTAGGTATGTAGGATAGCAGGCTAGTTAGCCTTGGCACCAGCAATGTGTGGATTTTCTCCATGTATATCCAGCACGCCAATAAAGTGTGCGGCTCAGATACGTACTTTTCAAACTATTTTCTACCAAAATCCCAGATTATTGTGCTGTATTGCTTAGCCAGTACTCTCCAGCAATGGCTGCCATGACTGTAGCTAATTTCTGGCTTGACTAGGTCATCAGAACACGAGATGAAACAGTGTATTGCTTTACTAATGCTCTATAGCCATTCAGGTAGTTTTCTATCTTTGAATTGCGATATTTTCAATGCTTTGCCTTGTACTAAAACGGGTGTACCTATGTGTTCCGTGGGTATTTTTTTGGTCTGTTTTTTTTTTACTTGAATCTAAATTAAACTGTGAATCCAAAAATGTTACAACCTGAATTTCGACCTCCGAGGCCCTAAGGGCCCTTTTCGCGTGCTCTGGCTCATTTGTTTACTAGGACAAACCTTTTTACGTTATGCTGTATTTGTTTACTAGGACAAACCTTTTTACGTTATGCTGTATTTGTTTACTAGGACAAACCTTTTTACGTTATGCTGTATTTGTTTACTAGGACAAACCTTTTTACGTTATGCTGTATTTGTTTACTAGGACAAACCTTTTTACGTTATGCTGTATTTGTTTACTAGGACAAACCTTTTTACGTTATGCTGTATTTGTTTACTAGGACAAACCTTTTTACGTTATGATGTATTTGTTTACTAGGACAAACCTTTTTACGTTATGCTGTATTTGTTTACTAGGACAAACCTTTTTACGTTATGCTGTATTTGTTTACTAGGACAAACCTTTTTACGTTATGCTGTATTTGTTTACTAGGACAAACCTTTTTACGTTATGCTGTATTTGTTTACTATTGATTGATTTATATTTCACGGATCCTCCAGAGGCAAATAGATGCCTATCGAAGGGAGTCTCCTAGGACAAACCTTGTTACGTTATGATGTATTTGTTTACTAGGACAAACTTTTTACGTTCTTAAAGGACAAGCAGCAGCTTTCGGCTTGTTTATCTATAAAGTTATTCCACATCCACCGAACGCGCTCTTCTCCAAAAGCCTTGGATTCATGTTGCTGGTGTGTGAGGTTGGCCAGAGAGTGTGTTTGGTGGAGGTGGAATTACTTTAGCCCTTTTTACTGGCAAAATAAACATACTACAGTATGATTTTCACGCACATTCACATGCCAGAGGAAAAGACAGCAACAACAACAGCAACAGCCCTCCAAGTCCAAGGTTCCAACACACCATTGCATGCTTACACATACAGTAGATCTGCTCACGCACGAACACCCGAATGTACAGTCTGTTGCTGAGTACTACACCAAACCACACACAAGACGTACCACACCAAAGACCACACTCAAGCAACTCACTACGAGTACAGTGTCTGCATTGTCATTGTCAAGTTGCTCAGAGCCGCCATGTCATTATGGTGACATGTTTTTAGCAACAACCAGTTATAAAATAGAATTTTACGACAATCAGATTGACAACACCAACACCACCCTGGTCTGTATGGGACTGTACCCTAAGACATGATGTCATCAGCTCTTTGTCCATATTTGATGAGAAGAGCGTAGCATTGAATCGTGATTGGTTCCAGGTAGTGTTGTTATGTGGTAATGGGGTAGGTCCCCCATTATGTGTGTAGTCTACATGTGTGAATGTGATTCTTGTCACCAATGACTAGGTAAACAACACATTTTTATGGTCTCGGTCTGTGCAGAGCGCGACGACATCGCGCAGACGTGTAGCATATCACGTGACAACACAATGACACACGCACACACGCAATGCTGCGAACAAAAGATGCCTGAGTTCGCGCTAAGGCACACAGCCACAAAGCTAAAGCAGTATTAGTAATGTATGAGTAGATGGCCGTCCGTGGTCTGCCAGACAGTGAGCATGTCCTGCCATTTACCACATGGATGTGATGCACGATTCGTTCAAACATCAGATCACATCGATTTTGGTCAGCACCGCTCAGTCATCCATTTCTCAAGGCACAGTCCAGTTGTCCGTTTTCGTCTCCCTGCCTTTCTCTTTTG